CAGCATCACCCAGCCTCAGCATCACCCAGCCTCAGCATCACCCAGCCTCAGCATCACACAGCCTCACCATCACTAGTCATGCTGAAATGCTTTAGTAGCAGGAAGTGAACATACCACAGTGCACCCGTTGCTGATGTTGTGTGTGTCCCGGTGAGCATGGGCACAGAAATCCACACAGGCTGTCACGCCTGAGAAGGGCCGCTCCTGCCCTGTGCCCAGCCGACAGTCTGTGCCCAGGTGCTCCACCTGTACGTCATCGTCACAGCAAGGTCATTACAATGCCCTCAGAAAAGTTCCTATAGTATCACCACAAAAACCTCTGTAGATGACCTAAACTGACTCCTCTCTGATTACATGACATCATCTTAAAACTCCTTAGTTGATCTAACCCCATCTCAAACTGACATCATCGTAAAGCTAGGTCATTGATCTAAGACTACTTCTTACTAGTGACATGATATTTTCGCAACGCCCAGTGGCTGATCTAAACCCACTTCTCATTGGTTACAAGATATCATCAAAAACAGCAGAGTTGCACAAACTAAATTTGTGGGTTGGCATCATTTCAAAACCACACACCAGACATAAAAGATGCACATATGCAGATATTAATGTTCTTGAACCTTTGTGTCACTATTATACATTCAAACATGTCTGGTTAAGCTTCTTTACTGCCACTGAGATGTGTGGTGAATGTCACGACGTGTGTATAGATGTATAGAGTCATTGGTAGAAGACAGGAATGATGAGGGATGGGGGAGGGGATTAAGAAATGTGATCTGATGAAAGAGTCTCGCTCATTGGCCAGATTACCCTGACTGCAAGTTTACCACAAGTCTAACAACATGTTATACACACTCAATGTATGCACATTGTTGGTTGACTGAATAAGTAATTTATATGTTCAATTTTTACAAAATATTGGTTAGGCATGTGTCTACCCAAATTGACAGGTATAACGGCAACTAATCACAAAGCTCAGTTGTTGATCTAATTCCCCTTCTCATTGGTTATATGACATCATCACAAAGCTCAATGTTAATGCATCTATCTGTTTGACTGCAGTCCCTGAAGCCTGAGGTCGCCATTCTGCAGTTTCCTTTGGGATCCTATGCCTCTGTAGTCCCACCTGGTTCTGGAAAGCCTCAGGTGCCAGTTTCTTGTATGTAGGAGCAAGTTCTGTGGCCAAGTTGTGGAGGTCATTTTCCAGCTTCTTTTCCTGGAAAGCGTCAAAAGCATTGCATGCTCACAAGTTCAGTACCAATACGATCTCACAAGATGCTGTGTTTAGAGAGAATAAGAAGAATAAGCATCTCTGTTGTAGAGCCCTTGAAGTGCAATGCAGCCCTGGTGCCAAAACACATAGCACCCACCTCCAGAGCACAGCCCCCCTGCAGGCGGAACTTCCGGGGCACCTTGCTGCGGGCAAACTTGCAGCCGTTGAAGTACATGCTCCAGGAGCAGCCGAAGGAGAAGGAGGCGCCACAGGTTTCTGGGTCCAGTCCCTGGCAAGCGCAGGTGCGGCTGTGTGGTGCACAGAGATGTTACACTTTGGCAGGGAGTGGTATACTTTGATGCAGTGTGGTATACATGGCCAGGGTGTGGTATGCTTTGATGCAGTGTGGTATACATGGGCAGGGTGTGGTATACATTGATGCAGTGTGGTATATATAGGCAGGGTGTGGTATACTTTGATACGGTGTGATATAATTTGACAGGATGTGATATACTTTGACACGGTGCATTATAAATCGACAGGTGTGGTATACTTTGACACAGTGTGATATAAATCGACAAGGTGTGGTATACAAGCAGTAGGTACTTACTCCTCATTGATGGCACAGCGTCGGTTTGTCGGCGAGCCGTGCTTGCAGAGCGTCTGGCTGAGCTCCCGGTAAAGCTGGTCAGCCACAAATCGAGGGATGCCCTCCCAGGCCATGATGAGAATCACGACCACGGCGGCCTGGCAGCAGTGCCCTGTGCGGTGCCGCACCAGGCACAGCAGTTTCTCCTCCTCACCCCCCCTACGGATGACCTGCAATGCACACACACAGGTAAACAAAAGCACACATACATACAAGCAAGACTTTCACCTTGGATAACAGACAGACCCAGGGATTAACCTCCATTAACACACCCAGCACAGTAAACCAGCCTGGAGTTTCAATTTGCCAACTGCACAGGTGAGGCTGAAGAGTCCAGGGTTTCATTTGACAACTCCCCTCCAGGAAGTGATGTCACCACCGCATGTGCACTCACCCACTTAGCAATGGGACAGCCCTGGGAGCTCCGGCCCTCTTTTCCACTGTACACGACCACCTCCATCCGTACCGCCCGGCCCTTCTCTCCATACCTACAATGTACAGCAACATCACACTAGGACACATGTACCAACATACTTATCTTTATCAACATCGATTTATTTATCTTCCTAGTGCAATATTTACTGTACTTATCGTCATATTCACCCACCTATTTAATACCATCTCTATATGTTATTTTTTTATTATTTGTCGTTCTCTGTATTGTCTATCTTGGCACAGTCAGATGGAGCCCGCGGGAGCATTTAATTTTGTAATACAGGTTGTTGTCGAATTATGACCTGTGCCACTTACAACTGATCGACCTTACGACCGTTCTGAGACCGCAGATATGTGCCCTGTCTGTCAGCGCCAGTGTTGCCCAGCATGAGAGTTCGGTAGTTTCCACCCCAACTGCCGGCATTGTGAGCATCCCCGTGAGAAAATTGTGATTAAAAGGATTAAAAAACACCAAACAATATAACTTAAAGATTATATAATTTTACTATACAGTATATTGTACATATGATACATATACATATGGTCGACTTACGACCAAATCGATTTACAACTGGTCAGTCGGAACCGATTACGGTCATAAGTCGATGACGACCTGTATATTTAAAGAAACTATTTGGAAGTTACTGAAAAGGGGAATGAACAGTGTGACACTGTAAAACAACATGCATAGAGTAAAAACTGTAGAAACTCCTACTGGTAGTTTCATATTCAGCTGAGTTATATTGCAGTCAATGTACTGGCCATGAGGATATTCGTCATTTAAGGACAATGACTGTCACCTGCAGCTGCTTCCTCACCTGTTCTCCATCATCTCCCTCACCGCAGCCACCGTCGGACCTGATCCCAGGTGGGTGTAATATGGCCCCTCCTCCTTCTCAATAATTTGTTCTAAGAAAGGAGGGATCCAGGTTACTTCAAGCCATAGATACTACACACAGATGCTACTACACACAGCACACGGCCTTATTTTCGTGTTTTCAAACATCTAGTAGTAACTACTATAAGGGTTCACCACACAATGTACAGGAATAATTGACATGCAATGACAACATGTGTCACGGGTGATAGCCCACTTCACTTACCCACACAGTCGCAAGGCGGAATAGCACCAGTGCCTTTTCTGCTTGGGGTGTCAATTACATTTTTGGTTGAGGTGCTCAGGAACTGAAGGGGGGACTCTAGGAAGCTGCTGAGGGTGTTCTTGTTGGGGGTCCACTCCTTGGGAGGGTTGGACTTATGTCCCCCGGTGTTACTGGCCAAGGTGGACAAAATGGTGATGGGACCAGCTGCCTCCACCTTGCAGCACCCCTCTGTGGCAGCTAGGGGCAGCGTTTGGGAATCTGTGCCGCGGTCTGCATCGGACTTGCGACACAGGTGCCCGGAGGAAGGACGCTTCTGAGGAACTAAGTCACTCCTTTGTTCCATGGCAGTTTGTTGGGCCTGGATGGTCTGACCATTGCGTCCGTCACCCTGCCAAAGCAGCAGGCAGTCATGAGAGACCGCAGAAGCTGTCACACCGGAGGATGTGTTGCCGATTCCATTCTGAAGCTCAGGCCATTGGAGAGGCTGTTGCTCTGAATGCTTCCCATTGTGGACTGAAGGTGCTAAAAGAAGCTTCTGCTCCTGCTGCTCTGTGTCTATAGAAGGAGGAAAGAGGCCAGGCAGAACAGCCTGAGGTGTTATCTGATGTGCCTGAGCTAGGTATTTCTTTAGGTCCATTTGGGCTTGTGGAAGGAACAGAGGCGTATTATAGTTAGCTCTGGCCTTCTGCTGCCATATGATTTTCTGGATCTTTGTTTTATGAGGGGTTTTGCTAGTTGGTGTCCTTTTCAGGACAGGAGCACCATGATAGTTCTGTAGATGGTTCTGACATGGGAACTTCACTTCCTCCTTCAGCACCGGCTGCTTCTTAAATCTTCTAGGTTTGGAAAGTGCAGTATTAGTTTTCTTGACTGCGGAATTCTGCAGACTCTGCAAGTTTTGTAACAGTGAGGGGTAACTGTTTGGACCAGCATGGGCTTGGCTGGTCTCTGAGTGAGACTGGAAGGCAGGGCTCAGCTCACTCTGTGCTTGACGGGACTTGATGATAAATGGTAGCTGAACCAGCTGGGCAGCCACTTCCACCTCGTCCTGATTCCTCAACCCTTTGGGACACAGTGACCTCTGTGGCATCCAGTCTACATTCAGAATGCCCTCACAAACCTGTGCTTCATAAAGGCATCCTTTATCATTCTCACCTTTACGGTAGCAATGGATTTGCTCTTCACAGACGTCACAAGGCAACGTCTTGCCTGCTTCTGAGCTGGCATCTAATAGGTCCTGCCAGCATGATCTTTTTATTGGAGCAACACTACTGGACCTATGGGTAAGAGAGTAGATGACTGATTTGTGCTGAATTGCAGTGTTGTTAACTGTAACTTTATTTGAGGCAGAGTATGATTGGGACTGGGTCAATTGGGGTAATATGCTTTTGCTGTAGGCTGTAGTTGAGTGCTCATCTTGTGGAGGGTCCATTAGCGATGGGATGGCCAGCTGAGTTAGGGCCTCCACTGCGATGGCCTGCTCAATGTTGAGGTTTCTCTGCTCAACCAGCAACTGGAGGCTTGGCAGAGACAGCCCTGAATCATCTCCTCCACATACGCCACCCTCACTGGGGGGACTGACAGCGGCACCCGTCTGGATCACACAAGCAGTAGGATCTTCTTCTGGCAGCCCTGGAGGCCTCAAGGAGTCTGGGCAAGGTCTGCACAGTCTGGTCTCCATCCCATTTTTGTCAGGAGTTGAAAAACAGACGACAGCAGCTAATGTGGACAATGCATCCTTGTAGTCAGTATTGTCATCTAAATGAGCAAGGATCTGATCAGTGGTCCATGTCCAGGAGTCGTCCAGTTTGGGCTTTTTCAGAGGGTGGGGCCCATCTGTGGCACAGTCAGATGGTGCCCGCAGGGGGCATTTAAGGTACCTGGAAAGGTGTGATGGGGAGCCCATTGTACCCATTGTTGTCTCACGTTTTGGTTTCAAGATTTCTCCAGAGGTGGTCTTGTAAACTTGCAGGTCCTGATGGAATCCTTCCCGCAATTCCTCCTCCAGAAGTGCCGTGACACCATCCTGTGAACTCTGACCGTCTTCCGGGCCAGAATGGGTATCTTCCATCTGGTCTGAGTGTGTGCCATTGGCGGAGCTTCCACCTGGGTGGACCTGCACGGGGAATGGATGGGGAGTACACACAGAACTGAGCTACACACTGATGTATGGCCATGCCACATGCTATAATCATGAGACTCAGGTAAATTTCATTTGACTAAAAATGTTCCGCCTTAAATGTCACACATAGCTATGCCAATGCCTGTAAGAATATGCTGTATTTTTCAGGGGGTTCCACATTTCACAGGGGACATTGAATACAACCCCCCCAATTCACCTGCCCCACCTGCTTGGCAAAGCTGACATTTTGTCAGGGGGCCCAAAATTTCTACCTACACCGCTGGCTATACCTGCCAGACATTCCAATCAGACTGGTATGCTTGATACAATGGAAGAATGATGTCATTGGCTTGTCTTTGTTCTCCAGGATGGAAGGCCAGGTATCATGACCAGACTGTAGAAGGACATCATATTCTACACCTTCTTTCATCCTTTGTCTTACAGCAAAGCAGCCTACAGTCATACATTTCCAACTACTACTGTCCCCTTTTGACAGCGACCTTGTGGGTTAGGAAGCTGTATAAGTGTGTGGCACTGTGACATGTGTAAGCAGCTTCCCAGAGGGACCCACGCCTGGCACAGGTCCCACAGCCATTACCCATTACCCACAAACCCACATATTTGCGGGAGCTGCTCCGGGCTTCAAGATCATCCCCACGACAGGTGATGCAACAGTTTGAGCAAAGAGAAGCTGAGGCAATAACTAGGCAGCCAATGTAATTGTTACAGCTCGGGACAACGGGGGTCAAGTGAGCCGGCTTTCCAGTCAGAAATTCAGGCCAACTTTTCTTATAAGCCTCTGCAACATTGGCATCTATTTATGAAGGCATTCGGAGCATCGTCCTTAATGAATGATCAGGTAGAGGATCCAAGTTCAGGAACAGCAAGTTTATTTCCAGAATCATGGTCTACAGACAGGTGGACGGTCAAAAACCAGCTAGAAGCAAAGGAAGGCAAACAAATCCAAATGACGACTCAAACCCATGGACCAAACACAGGTCACAAATGCAATATGCTCATGGGAGTTTTACTTACACAAAAATGTTCTGAGGGCAGAACGAAAAATGACTGGTTCCAAGAGATAACAATCAGATAAGGAGGTGCGGTCAAGCAATTAGAGGAAGTGGGATCAAGACATCTGTTTGATTGGTCTCGGCCCCTCTAGTTGCTTGGGCCCACTTCCTGTACAATCTGATTGGTTATCTCTCTGAACCAATATTTTTTTTGTTTTGCCCCCAGGACATTTTAATTGTAATTAAAACTCCCATGAGCACTCAATATAGGGAGCACAGGGGGAAATAAGCAAATCCAAAGAGCAAGAAAACCAGGAAAGCAAGCAGGAGTCATCAAAAGCCTAAGGTACAGTTAACCAAATGCTTTTATTCCATGACAATTAACCAGGCTGATGAGCTACAGATAGAGGCACAGGTAGGAATTCTGGGCCCCCTTGCAAAATGTCACTTTGGGCCACCGTGTCCAATTTTACATTAATTGTACACATTCAAGGGTCCCTGTAAAGTTCTGTGCAACCTGACTCTGCCAGGGTATCCATGCCCTTACTGGTGGGTCTAGTATCCAGGGGAGGTGGGCCCAGCACTGAGTGGGCATGGCTGGATGGGTGCTGGGATCGATGTGGCCATGGCATCTGCGTTGCGAGGAACACTTTAAAAATAAATGTATTTGAACAACAAATGTTTACTAATTCTTAAATTGGTTTTATTTCCTTCTGAAATTGGGTTCTTATATATCATAAATGCAATAAACACTTTTTACAAATTTCATGCATGATATATAATTTATACTCTTAGATAAAGCAGATATATATATGAAATGCATTAACACAGACTGTTATATTTAACAGTTTATTAAGGGCAGCTGGAAGCAACAGATGGCTGTGTGCACGACGGTGAGATGCACAGGCCACATGCATAGACTGCAGGGAGGTGAGGCAGCACCACGATGCTTAAAACCCAACGTAAATGTATTCTGCTTTTGTCAGAAGAGCACATTTTTCTGCCATGTACTGAAGACCCAGCTCACAGTTATACAGTTGTACCCCTGGACCACACCAGCATAGCAACA